AGCTCATGCTGTTTGTGATATGGGTTTAGGAAAGAGAAGTCTGCATATGGGCATTCATTCTGCCAGACCAAGATGAGAGAATGCTTTCTTTCACTTCAACCATTTTGATGAATATTTTGATAATAGTTATTTTTTTAAATGTAGAGCTTTCCAACTTAATGGTATTATTCAGATATAGGCATTGCCGACAGATTTTACAAAAATAGTTTTATTTAGGAAATGAACTTTAGAAAGAAGAGAGTGAAACAAGTAGAAGTTGACTCGATGATTCCTTAGCTCTCCTCTACAGTGTAATCCAGTCTCAGTCCAGAAGCCAAAACCAATGTTGATGGAATGCTGAGCAACCCAAACCAATCATCCATTCATCCATCCATCCATCCGTCCATCCATCCATCTGTCCATTCACCCATCTGTACATCCATTTAGCCAGTCATCCACTCACTCACTCATATTTTTAGAGGAACTAATCTAGGTCCTGTGACTAAGCTGAGTTTTAGTTTATTTGTATAAATTAAGTTGTTTCTACAACAAACTAATAATAATGAAGAATAATACCTAACATATTGATATGTATTGGATGTGTGTCTCCACTCTATCCAATCTGATTGTAAATGATGATTACATGTCTAACATGTTCCCTAAAGAAACAAAAAGAACATGAAGAACCCAATTGGGCCAACCAACATGGCTGTGGGGAATCAAGGTTCTGTATCTTTATTGTGGTGGTGCTTACACAAATCCATACACTGCATAGAACTACACACACACTCTCATACACACACTCACAGACTTATATGAAAACAGTTTTTATCAGTTTTTACATGTATTCAGGTGTGTATGTGTAGTTCTATGCAATTTAATATGGTGTATGTGTTGTACAAATCCAGGAAACAGTACTGTTCCGATGTAAGTTTCCTGGTTTTGCTGTCGTACTACAGTCATATAAGATGTAATCATTTAGGTTAGGTGAAGAATTCTTCAGACTCCATGTACTAGATTTTGCCACTATAAACTTATAATCTGTGAATAATTTACGAATAGAATCTATAAATCTATAATTATTTTAAAAGGTAAAAAACAGAGATATAGTTATCTAGACTATTATAAAAGTGAATGAGTTATTTACTTGGCAAACTGTTTCTCACTTGTGACACTGCTTTGCTAAGAAGCTCCCTCCTTTCCCCCTACTAAGAACTCATTTTATTTGTTATTAACAGTTTTTAAACCTGTAGCTAAAAGACATCTTGGAAATTGTGACATAATGATAATTAGTGCATAGAAAGTCTATTTGGGAACATGTTAGATATATAATCATTACTTACAATTTCATGTCATTCTGAAATTTCTCATTTCTATGAGTACCTATTGTCAGTAGAAAATTCTGTACTCTCAAAGCTCTTTTCAACCTATATTTCAGTCTACTGAAAGAAAGGGAAGAAAATGAGAGGGAACACCTGTAAATCACGTGTTTATTGGTACAAAAAATTACACACACATATACGCACAGAGTTTATTGGATTTCCTATCAATTCTTTTTCAATTGTTTCTATACTAGATCAAGTATTGAGCAGGTTCAGTCATCAAAACAGCTGAAAACAGTGGACTGGCTGTATTCAGCAAGTAGACTGGATGGTGGTTTGCATTTGAGGGAGGCCCAAGCAGTGTAGGAATGTTTGCTTAGAAATGCTCTGGATGAACTTGAAGTAGACTGTCCCACAGGCCCACTTATGGTGCATGTGAATTTGTGAATGTTTTGTGATTTAATGGTACAACATTTTCCCTAAAGGAGCAAGGCCCAGAAAACAGGAGCAAAACAACTCTTAGTGCAGCCTCATGACTGTGCAATAATTCCAGCCCCGTTAACCTTAGAGCTTCTGATACTGCTAAACAACAAAACTACCCCACTTGTTAATGAAAAATTCAAGCATTTGGTTTCAAGAACAGGAAAGATTTTTTTGGTGGGGGGAAGCTACAAAAAAGTAGAAATTTTTTTTTTTTTTTTTTGAGACAGAGTTGCAGTCTGTCGCCCAGACTGGAGTGCAGTGGCACAATCTGGGCTCATTGCAACTTTTGCCTCCCGGGTTTAAGTGATTCTTCTGCCTCAGCATCCTAAGTAACTGGGACTACAGGTGAGTGCCACAATGCCTAGCTAATTTTTTCTTGAGACAGAGTCTTGCTCTGTCACAAAGGCTAGAATGTAGTGGCATGATCTCGGCTCACTGCAACCTCCACCTCCCGGGTTCAAGCAATTCCCTTCCCCAGCCTCCTGAGTAGCTAAGATTACAGGCATGCGCCACCATCCCTGGCTAAATTTTGTATTTTTAGTAAAGATGGGGTTTTACCATATTGGCCAGGCTGGTCTCAAACTCCTGACCTTGTGACCTTTTAAAGTGCAGGGATTACAGGCGTGAGCACCCAGGCCAAAAAAGTAGAATTTTATAATATAAAGTGGGTATCATAGTAAACATTTCAATTTAATTAGGCAAAAGTGTGAGGTCAGTTACATCAGAAAGTCCTCTAAGTTTGTCTTCAATACCCTCTTGTCTCATTCGTTAGTCTTATCTCAGCCCCTCTCTGTCTTGGGCCGCATTCCACAGAACTGTGGCAAAGGCATTTACAAGGCTATTGATGCCATTAAGGTTTTTATGGCTAACTATTCTTTTATACATAAATCAAGTTAACATAATGAGATAACTTTTATCTCATTCTCTTCTTTTCATCCTTCAATTACACTTGCTGCAAGGCATGAACATGATAGAAGAGCTTATTCCTATTCCCTCTGAGTATGTCTATTCATGCAATGTATGTATAAACAGTAATCCTGCCATATACACATATACTTCCACTCTGAGTTACGTAGGAAATAGGTGTCTAACAAGTAACATGTAATCTGAGTCTGAAAGAGAGGCAAGGGAATATATAAAAATGGAGGGAGAAGCAACAAAGACCAACATCTGTTAACTTTATTTATGTATAAAAGAATAGTTAGCCATAAAAACATAATGCCATTAGTAGCCTTCTAAATGCCTTTGCCACAGTTTCGTGAGGTGTGGCCCAAGACAGAGAGGGGCTGGGATAAGATTAAAGAATGAGAGACGAGGGTATCAAAGACGAACTCAGAGGACTGAACGAGATTGTGTATAAAAGAGTATCAGCACTTCCCAGCCATTATAAAGTGGCATCAAAAGTGTCATTTGTGAGGGGCACTATATTTTTTCATTTGGGCAAATCAGCAAACCAAGGGCATTTGAGGAATTCTTTAAGGTGGGTCTGTGGGTATCCCAAGGACATTAATCTTCCAGATTATTGCACTGCTTTCTTCATGTTTGAGATTACAGCATCAGGCTCAGTGTAGCTCTTCCCCTCCTCTTCCTCCGTCTGCACTCCCTTCCTCCTCCCCACTAAACACAGTTCCAAGCTTTGTTGTCCTCCTGCACTCTTGAGCTCCATTTAGAGCTTGAATACAGGTGCTGGGAGGCAGAATCTCCTCTCTCCCTTTTGTACCAACCTAAGCCAACACTGTGTTCTCCAACTTGTTTCTAGGATCCCTGTGAATTTGTTTTTCTGCCAGATACCCTTATGCTCCATAGGCATTTTGTAATGCTTTTTTAAGGAAAAAGATAATAAAGACATGATTATTATCAAAGTCTCCACCAAGTCAAGGGGAACAAATTATTGGTACTTCTGTGCCAGGAAAGATTTCTGCCAACCTTGGAAGTGTCTCCTGAATTATGACTGTACGCATGGGGCAGATATGAACTTGTCTAAAAGAAGAGAAATTTATAAACTATGGTTCAGTTTCAGATATCATTTCCATTGAGAATAGCAGTAAACATGTCACATCAAAGGTAAAGCTCTCTGGTAGCACATACTGGGGCTGTGACAGCCTAGACCTTTGGTTCTGGTATGTAGCTAAGTAAAACCAGCACTGGTAATTTTTTGGCTGTAGAATGGAACACTGGGATCCCTGATGAGGACACCCAGATGATATGGAACACTGCTAGTCAAAGTTCTGCTGAATTAAATGTGTCTTGAAACTCACGGATCCGCAAGATTTATATTCCTCCCAGACAGATTTACTGCATGAGGATCTGGCACCAGAGCCTGAAGGAAAAGTGGAAAATGGAGCCAACTGTTTAAGATGTGGAAGATTTGGTTCTTGCAAACCTATGTTCTGTCAGAAGCAAGTGTCCAAATGGCTTGCTACCCTCCAAAGGCCTTCATTTAAATCAAGAAATGGAAAACAGCCAAAGAAACCTGAAGATAGTTCTTCAGTCAGTGTAAGGCATGAAGTCAAAAGGATGTAAGATAAGCTGATCTGGGAGCTCTTGGAGCTAACAGAAGATCACAGAACACAGTGAGGAGAGCATCTCAAGACAAAAGTGGGGGGCAAGTACCATCTTGTCATTCCCGTATCCAGTTCTAATTAAAAGGTCACCAGTATGCCCCTTACTTTTATTCTATAGGAAAATGTGTTTCCGCCATCCAGAAGTTCATTATTATAGATCATCTAAAAATAAGAGTCAAAGGAAATAGGGGGTAAAACAGTTAAGGAAATTCAATGAAGAAAACAACACATGATGCGACTTTTTTCAGGATTAGAAAAAGACATCCACGACCTGTCTTCATGTGAGTATCACACACTGCCCAAGGTACTACATGGTCTTAAATTAAATTTAAGAAAAACACAACCTGACTTTGAAGTGAGAATGAAAAGGAACAATACCACATAGGAAAGTTGAGGAGAAAGGTCACTCGGAGTGACCCAGGCTAGCCTAGTCATTGTTAAGATGATAATCATGATTATTAATCGTTTATTGAGTGATTGCTACATGACTGTTTTTAACTCAACACCTGCCTAAAATGTGCTAATCAGTTAAATCCTTAAAATGACTCTTTTCACTTTTTTCCTTTAGGTTTAGAGATTTACCAAAAAACATAAGTGACAAACCACATAAATTCATTTACCAAACATTTATTGAGCTGTTACCCTGTTCTAGGCATCGCTGCTCTACTGAGAATACAGCTGTGAACGGCATCCCCTGATACTTTAGTTCTACTGAGGAAAAACAAGTGTATTCATTTCTTATGGCTGCTGCAACAGATTACTGCAAACTGGTTGGCTTCAAACAACAGAAATGTATTCTTCCATGGTTCTGAAGGCCAGAAGCCCCAAATCAAGAGGGGCCCATTGCAGCACTCCCTCTGAAGGCCCTAGAGGAGAATCCACTCTGGCCTCTTTCAGCTTCTGGTAGCTGTCAGTATTCCCTGACTGTGGGCACTTTGCTTCCTGCTCTTCTGCCTGTTTTCTCCCCCTTTGCCTTTTTCTTATAAGCATATTTGTGATGATATTTAGGGTCCACCCAGATAATCTCAAACAATTTCACCATAATATCCCTAATGTAATCACATCTGTTAACCACATAAGGTAATATTCACTTTATTATGATATATGATAATATTTACAGGTCCCTTTGATTAAGATAAACATAACTTTTGGGGCCACCATTGAGCCACTGCAACAGGAGATAAATAGATATATTGAGGCCATTATGAGAGCAACAGAGAAAACAAAGCAGGGAGAAGGGACAAGAGAGTAATGGGATGCTATTTTTGCCTAGGGGGCTAGAGAGGGCCTCCCTAATGTGGAGGCTTTGGCGCAGAGACGTCCTTGAAATAGATGAAGAACATTGTTCTGGCAGAGAGAAGAGCAAGTGCAAAGGCCCTCGAAGTGATCGTTGTTGTGTTTGAAGAGACCCATGTCTTACATGTGTAGTAGGAGATGGGTCGAAAAGGCAAAATTTGGATTTTATTCTGAGTAAAAAGTGAAGCCGTTGGTAGAGCAGAGACATAATTGATCTGACTTTTATTACTGTGGCTGATGTGTGGAGAATAGACTATAGAGAGCCAGGAAGTACTATGACCACTCAGGGAGATACTGCAATACTCCAGGCAGGAGACAATAGTGCCTAGGACTAGAATCGTGGCTATGGAAGTGGTGAGAAGCGATCTAATTCAAGACATGTTTTGCACGTTGGGCCAATAGGATTTGCTGATTGAGTGAATTTATGTGATAATAATAAGGGAGTCGATGTTGCTAATGTTTTTTGCCTGTGTGACTGAACAATAAGAGCCATGGCCAACTGAAATTGAAAGATGCCAGAGGAACAGTCTTGGGAACTCACAATTCCATTTTGGAATTTGAAATGACTTTTGACATCCAAGTAGAGATATTCTGTAGTCAGTTGAATACAGGAGTCTGAAGCAAGCTGAAGGTGAAAGACATATATCTGGGCATCATTAGTGAATAGCCAGTATTGTAAATCACCAACTAGTAGGTGTAGTTAGAGAAAAGGACAAAAACTGAGCCCCGAAGCACTACATAATTAAGAAATCAGGAGATGTGGAAGAGCCAGCACAAAGGTCTGTAAAGTAAGCCAGTGAAGAAGTAAAATCATGAAAGCCTGCTGACCTGGAAACCACATAGGAAAGTGACTCAAGGACAGAATAGTCAGTCAACTGCATCAACAACTGCTGATAGATTAAGTAATATGAGGATTGTGAATCTACCATGCAATTTATCAGTGAGGCATCAGGAGTCTTGATGAGAAGTTTTGATGGAGTTGTGGGCACAGATTTATTTGGAGTGGGTTCAAAAGGGAATTGGATACAAGAATTGTAAGCAACTAATTTGGACAGTTATTGCAATGAGTTTTGCTGTTAAGAGGAGCAAAGAAACAGAGCAATAGCCAGAGGAATTTTTTCGAATTGGAAATACCATAACATATTATCATGCTGATGCAATGATATTATGAGAGGCAAAAATTGATAATGTAAGCAAGAGAATGAATGTAAGAGAGAAGTCCACAAGTAAGAAGGGGCAGAGTCCAGAGCCTTAGTGGCCAACCAGCCTTGCACAGGAGCAGGGCAGTCCTCCTTCTAACAGAAGCAAACTCAGAGTACCTGTGTACAGATGCAGGGTTGGTAAATCTGCTAGTGAGATGAGGAACATGCTCTCCTAATGGCTTCCATTGTCCCTGTGCAATCAGAAGCAAGTTCATCAGCTGAGAATGAGGAGGTTAAACAATGTAAAGTTTGAAAAGGTGAAGAAAAGACTTCAGAGAGTGAATTGTTAAGGCCAGCAGTGAATTATCTAGTGAATTTTCCAGAATAGTGCTATATCATAGAAACATAATGCAAACCAACTATGGAATATTAAGTTTTCTGGTACCCATATTGAAAACATGAGAAGAAATAGGTACAAATAATTTTAATACTATATTTTACTTAACCCAACATATTCAAAATATTATTTCAACATGTAATCAGTATGGAAAGTACCAAGATATTTTAAATTCTTTATTTTTAGTAGTGAGTTTTCAAAAGCCAGTGTGCATTTTACATTTTCAGCACATCTCAATTCAGATGAGCCACATTTTAAATGCTCAGTAGCCACTGTGACCAGTGCTGCCATATTGGACATGGCAGGTCTAGGGAATGCAGTAGGGCTAATGGAGAATACTAAGGATCTCTGGAAATTGGGAGCCATGAGCTGAGTGAGATTAGCATGACTGGGTGTTTTTCTCCAGCCACATTCAGAGCTCCTGTACAGACATGGAATAGACAGAGAGTTGGACTTGACCAGGAATTGAGTTTTGCAAGCAGCATTCAACCAAAGGGAAAAAAAGGAAGGGAACTGGTGGCGTGTGCAACCAAGTGATTATACAGACTGACCACAGAACATAAGACACAGAAGTTAGCGTGGGGTGGGGGAGGGGCATAAAAGATGATAGGGCAGCCAAACTTTAATAGCATCAAAGAACTTTAAGAACTGTAGATGCTATGCAGCATGCAAAGATGTCTAGATAATTCCTATCCTCAGCAAGCTAACCTTGACAGCAGATTTACCAACAGCTATGCTATTAAGATGGCATGTGTAAATGCCAGAAGAGTAGCATAAAATGTGTTCTATGGGAGTTTAGAAAAGGAAGAGTCATCTGGCTAGGATGACCCATGAGGGTCCATGGAGGGGGTGGTGAGTAAATCAGATCTTGAAGGATGAATAGGTTATCTGTCAGCATATCAGAAACATGGTACAAAGCAAGGAAAAAGCACAAGCACAGATAGAAAATCGAAAATGCTCACTATTTCTTTGGGTAAGGTTAAAAAACAACAACTTAATATTCATTGAGAGAACCATTAATAACAGTGGGGTAGGCAGCATATAAATAATTATGGATCTTGAAAGAAAAGTACAGGGCTAATTTCCCTGGGGGAAGAAAGACTTTGTCATAAAAGAAAGGCATCCCCCCAGAATACAATGATTCTTAGGTGCGGGGAAACTGAGTGCCAAAGATTATTCTCAAGAAATAAATGCCCATCACTTCTCAGCCTTTTGGCTAAGATCAAATGGAGAAATCAATGCCCTTTATTTCTGGCCCACCTCAACCCTACACACACTCATGCACATGCACACACATGCACCCAGACACACAGAGCATTCATCTTTCCTTTAGAATTCAGTCTCATACACTTAGTTCTCTTCTGTGGAAATGGTCAGTTACATCCAAAGAGAAGCATATGCTTACCTTTCACTTTCAGATTCTGGAAGAAAACATTTAGAACCAACTAGGATTAGAGTAGGTAAGATTAAAAAGGCTTTGATTACTATTAACACTTTAGAAATAGTACTGTACTCCCACCACGCAGATCCAGTTTATGATTCTTTTAGAAAGCAAGCTGTCCATATACACTATAATCTTTTTTGTTCTAAATCTGTTGCTGTTTCTGTTAAAATGTTAAGGGGAAAAGTAACATTTAACATTACTTTAGTTCTCAACACAGTCATCATTGAACAATAAGAAATTTAGTTTTTCCTAAGTGTGTGTGGAGTGTTGTTGAGAAAAAAAAAATCACCTTCTCTGTTCCCGGCTCTAAATGGTTTGGGAAACCTGCCAGTAGATCCACTCCCTCCCTCTTTTCACAAGAATTTCCCATTTCAATCAGAGTATCTATAAAGAGTAAGACCTAGACATTTCCACATAAAACTTTAATAATACTGTGCTTTGTATTTACATATCATACATGATTGGTCCTTCATAGCTCACTGTCCCTTTAAATTTACAAATCAGTATAAAAAAAAAAGCACAAGGTTTAGAAGCAACTCTTCTCGTGCCCAACAGTAAACTCATAATTACCGACACGTAGTCCTACAAAGGTAACTCTTGTAACATAAAAGGAAGTGTCCAGTAAGTATTAATAGAACATAGCAATTATCAAATATCCCATTTATTCAAGGTAATTTTAAGAACCATGGTGCTTTAATTATATAAATAACCATATTAAAACCTTTAGATCTACATTAATATGAATACAAATTAAGGTGTCATTCAACCAAAACTAATACTTAATATGAATTAATTAATAAATATATGCATACATAATCAAATCAGTTCCACAAAGTAGAATGTACTTCAATCAAAAAGTCAGCAAATAGGTAATATACTTAAAAATGTGAACTATTTGCTTTAAAAAAGTTTCACTAACATGCTATAATTCTGAAGGCTACAGATGCCACTGGTCAGACTGCTCCACGTGCCATCAAATCTTTCCCCTTTGGAAATAGAAACATCCATTGTCTCTGATTCAATTAGGAAGGTAAGGTATCCCAGTTCTCTTAACACTGCTGGCTGTGATTTTACTCCCGATGTCTTTAACACTCATATGTCTGGGAGATTCTGTAAGATCTGTCTCAAGGAAGCACAGGCTACCATGTGGGCATCTGAAGGAAGATTAGCAAGTGACTGAATCAGCTTCTTGACTATTGTCTTCAAACACTGGTGGGCAGCATTCAAGTCTCTGTCAAACTGTTGTCCTTCAATCTGTAGAGCCAAATGACTGCAGATGTTTCTAAACTCAACACTGTCCTGAAATTAACAACAAACACAAACAAAAAATTAGATACGTTATGGGGGGCATTTGCTGTGCTTTGCTTACCCAGCTTCCCATTCCCTTCTCTTCTGGTGACAGCACTCTGTTTTTTTTTTTTTTCTTGGAAAACTACTCCCCATTCT